CTGACTTAGAATTTCTTTGGTTTTCCTCAGTCCCTGTAGGCAAATACAGGGATAGTACTTCGTTTAGGCCATGGACGGGCGTATTTAATGACATTGTCGATATTTAAGGTTACAGGCCTCTAGCGGCGAACAGTAGAATGATTAATTAACAGTGAACTTGAAGGATTATGGAAGGGAGCAACCACAGCTTCATTTTAGCTGCCACTTGCCTGTCCGGGCTGAGGAAGTTTACAAAACACTTCAGTATTTTTTTTGTGTGTGGGGGGGGGGGGCATTTAAAGAAGTTTTAAGCATCTAGGCCCTGCAGCGTCGAATTGTTGGGCGATAGATGAATGATGACCTGGAAGAAATATGAAAGGAAGTGGGCGCCGCCTAATTTGAAATATATTTCCGGAATTTGCCCAGAAGGACCGGAGAAAACCACGAAATACATCATGAAATATAAGCGGTGATTGGACCAAGATTCGAATCAAACCCCTTCCGAATAGGGACCAGTAGTACTACCGCTACGCTCACCCACTCAGTCGGATGATTAATGGATAATGAACTGTAGAGGGTGTGGAAGTGGCCGAGACCTAACTTGAAGCACTATTCTGGCATTTGCCCGTAGGGAATGACGAAACTCACAGAATATTTGAGACATGATAGCAGGTGTCGCGGTCTGGTTACGAGCCCAGTACCTCTGACACACTGTCGAGGAGAGCTGTCATCTCTACGCCATGCATGTGTGCGTGGTGTTGCAGCAAGTTGCTACTGAGCTGAACTTCGGCACCACAAAGCACAGAGCATTCATGAGCTGGCCTATAGTATTCGCTTCACACGAGTTCCGGAGCTCAAAGACGTCACATCCGGTCTTACATGAGATGAAATGTTTCAATGCTTGTCACTGTGAGTACGCGAGGTTTTATGGCAGACACCAGTTTACATGATGCGTCGCGACGCTTCTGCTGTTCAAGGTGTCTCGGTGGTGTCATGTCAGAAGATGTCACCCGAGTTGCTGCGCTCGTCCTCCACAGCGGTGCATGCTGGGTGTGCGAACTAGCATATTGATTGGCTCGCGCCCAGGGCTCTGCTCGCCGAGGAACGGGGATAAAACCGTTTTCTGGCATATGACGCCGTGTAGTTTACGTATTTATTTAGGGAACACCCTGAACAGCTAAGTCGGTATAGGGACAAGTTACTGGCCGGGTGACAAAAAATTGGGGTTCGATTCTCGGCAAGAGCAAGAAGTCTTTCTCCTCTCCAAATCGTCCAGACTGGCTCTGGGGCCCACCCAGCCTCCTATCTGATGAGTACCGGGGGCTGTTTTGGGTGAAGTTGACTTGCCTCCGTTTAATGGCGCGGTTAAAAATGCGTGGAGTTATACCTCTACTTCCCCACACATTAAGGCTTAATTATGGCCGCGCCATAGCTCAAGCGGTTAGTCGCTGGCTTCCCACCGCGGCGGCCCGGGTTCGATCCCGGGTCTGGTCAAGTGAGATTTGTGGTGGACAAAGTGGCGCTGGGGCAGGTTTTCTCCGAGTACTTCGGTTTCCCCTGCCAATCTTCATTCCACCAATTGCTCCACAGTCACCCTCACCTATCATCGGGGGCTGGTACAAGAGGCCAGAAGTGGCCGCAGTACAATGGACTTAGTCCCACCCCACTAGCAATAAAAAAGGCTTAATTAATAACATGGGAGGTGGAGTGTTCTGCCTCCATCTTCAAGGTATATTACCTGCTTTATTCGTTTCTTTCTGTCTTTCCTTGATTCGCTTACTCTTCAACGATGAAGCTTGGGAGAGCGTACGTTTTTCAGAAATGTCGATAAAATTATTCCAAACTTCACGGCAACACATCCCAGAAACCAGCATTATGGGATGCAATTTTAATTTATAACCTGATTTACAACCCCATCAGCCGTGTCACCGAGCCTATCCAATGTTACGCTTTAATGGAGCAGGTTAAACATTGCGGGTAGAGGAGCAGAAGGGGTAGCTAGGAACACTGAAACCCGTATGAGCAGCTGATGGCAAACACAAGACATTGGGAAGGTAGCGTACGGTTTGCAGACATTTGGAAGTACTGTAAAATGGAATATTGCTCCATAGTCACCATATCTTCAGACAGTGTTTGAAATTTGGAGTTTTCGAGAGACTGAATTTTAAGAGGCAAATAGGTTACTCCGAAAATATAGAACACATTATGTCCTGAAGTTGGAGGAAGAATGCGCATTCGAAACATAGGCGAACTACCAGATCACACCGTCTCGCATCCGAGAAGATAATAATGTTCATAGTGATGCTCCTTAATTGATTCCATAAAAACATATTTATAACATAATAAGAATTAAAATATTGAAAATTTGCCCCAGCCCTAAGCTACAGGAACATGGCCTCCATATGCTTCCCATGTTGTAACGAACTGGACTTCGGTTTCTTTCGAATTAGGGCTCATTTTCTGGAATTAATCAATTCTCAGGAGGGGTACGTGGTAGCGTAGTTGGTTGAGGCTCTACGCTACAAGGCGGAAGGTTGAGGGTTTGATTCCCGATGAGGTCACTGGATTTTTTAAATTGACCTAATCCTTCCAGCCGCACTATGGCCCTGGGGTCGACTCAGTCAAATGAGTACCAGGAATCTTCCTGGTGGTAAAGGGCGGCCGGTGTGTAAGGTTGACATCCTCACCACCATCTGTGAGCCGATTGTCTAGAAGATATGGGAGCCTCGACGTCTCGCAGCCTGTTACAGGGATAGCTTTACTTTGTATTAATTCTCAAGTCCGTGGGAGGGGTGCATAGACAGTGGGCTTGCCTTCACTGATGCGCTTCTAGATGCACTTAACTGAGAACCTGTACGCTATGGTCAGGGCGGAACTCTCCAGTGTCACCCCTCTTGACCGGTGGCGCCTCATCACGCTTTGTGAAGCCACTGAAGCACGTGCATGCACTGCCACAGGAAACTTAATGCAATTTGCAGGACACCTGATGGGGGGTAACACCAGCACAGCGTCACAACCTACAGGCTCTCGGGATGTTGTGTAAATCTCTACAGCAAGCAGCGCTGTTTCGGCCGCGTATCTATGCCATTTTCAGGCTCGGGTTCTTAATTACAATTCTGTATCATATACTTAGCGTAAATTTTCACGTAATATCGGACTTGAAGATGGCATACATGTGTCGAAACAGCTGGGAATAATGTTGTGTTGGCAACGACGCAGGGTAGCGCTGACGCTCCATGGTCGTGTCTGAACAGAGATCGGTGCACCAGATATTTTCACTAAGGTTTCCGTGGTTTTATTCAGTACATCAATAAAATTGTACCACGACCACATCCTCTCAAATCTTTTCCAAGTCAGTGTGCATCACATAATTAGAAGCTACTGAAGGAGTCATCAGGGGAGTCATGAATAAATCAAGAATGCCGTCTTCTGGGATGTGACGCTGTATAGATCTTGTGTGAACCGACGTTTCGGAGGAACGTATCGCTGCAACCACCTGCTCACGCTGGTTCCTCGCCTGTGGATTTTTCTACCGAGTAGACAGGCGAAACGTCGTTTTACACGCCACATCTACACGGCGCCAAATCCCAGAAGACGGCATTGTACATAGTCACCGCCGTGAAAACCTCAAACCTTACATAAATAAATCAATTCTCCCCTTCTCAGGACAAAGTAGTTTTCTTTTTGGGGGAGGGGGCTGATCCTCGTTTTCGGATCCTCATTTCGGGAACTACAGACCTCGTTTAGATGAAATCTGGCAACCACGGTGTGCAGCGAAATTTGCCTGGCGTGATATATCAATCTATGTAATTGGATTAATGGTTATCAGCGTTTCGGAAGAACTTGCTGTCTCCCTCTTCAGACCTTAACTGGAGTCTACGGATATCAGCAATTGCAGTTGCAATGAGCTACTATAAACATATGACATGAATATCCGAGGCGAACTTCTTTACGATTTCACTTTCCTCCAGTGTGTGTCTATTTATGGTGCAGCCTGTGGTACAGGTTCCGAGCCTTCAGCTCCACGTGTCATATCTGCAATCGACACAGACAGACGGACAAGTGAGTGGAAGAGTGATACAAACCGTATTATTTACCGGATTCTGTGAGCCTTCGATTTCTGACGTTAATGGAGAGCTTGCGACTAGATGAACTGATAGCAAGACGGGGAGAGCTTGACAGTAAGGAGCACTTTGAAGTTAATACTTCGCCAAATAAGATTACGACGCTCAAATGAAGGAAACTGGAGGATAAAATATTGAGATAGATCTTGAAGCAATATTTGAGGATGTGGGCTGGATTCATCTGGCTCAAGACAGAGAAAAATGGTGGGCTGTTTTGAACATTGTAGAGAACATTCGACTTCCATAATATTACGGAAATTTCCCGACTAGATAAGTAACCACTGGTGTCTCAAAAAGTTCCCTGAACCAAGGAATCAGTTATCGTCTGCATCTTCTTTCCACAGGTCAACAAATGTTTTAACATGACATGCATTCGCACTAGCTTCAATATACAGGTTGCATGCCAATGTGTATCTGTCGTGTCCTGTGCTGTGACTGTGTGCCTCAGTCTCACACAGATGTACACCGTTACGTCATCATTATGAAGTTACTAGATTCTTCTTCCTATACAGTGCGATTCAAAATCTCCATATCGGAGATCACAGGGATTTTACTCCCGTAAGGTTGGTTGCATGCGATATGACGTAACCTCGGAGATGTGTGAGACAAAGTTTACTTGCTTGATCCCTTATTTAACTTCTGATTCAGTTTGGCGACGTCTGGACATAAGAAATGGGCTAGCATAGTCAATAATTGTGACATCAAAACAGAGAAAGCTCACTTGCCCAAGTCAATAATTGTGACATCAAAACAGAGAAAGCTCACTTGGCCAAGTCAATACTTGTGACATCAAAACAGAGAAAGCTCACTTGGCCAAGTCAATACTTGTGACATCAAACCAGAGACAACTCACTTGGCCAAGTCACTAATTGTGACGTCACGACGGAGCAGACTTACCAAGCACGTACGGTGTCCCAAGTATGGCAGGAACCGTGAAGCCAACCCCAAATCGGAAGGCGCTCCATGTGACGAAGTCCTGCGCAAACGCAGTCGCAATCCCGAAGAAGCACTCAATGAACAGGTAAATGAAGAAAGCCGGTCTACGGCCTATGCTGTAAGCACAAGGAACAGAGAGACGAGGTTAGGTTACGCACCTGACGAGCTACAACTGAAGAGATGGACATTATGATCGGTCCGAGCACGCCGGGCCTCTGTACAGTGGGACTGACGAATCCTAAAACCAGGAAACGATTTAAGTTGTCTGCATGTGCGAGGATGTCATTGCTTGTATCAAGAGGAGATCTGACGAGTCCGAAATGCACGTCACAGGCTGTCGCCCCTGCGGCTGTAGCGCACTGCACCCTAGTGCCACAACAGCAAACCGAGCTGGAATATACCGCTCTGGGTTGCTTGAAACCCCACTGCTTTCCAAATAGAGCGAGAGTTGTGTCGCCATGTCCTGACGTTTTCGTAAGTCTGGAGACAGAATATCTCAGCCGGTTTAACTGGATAACCGATAAATTGGGGTTCGACTGACGGCAGAGCAGATATTAAGCTCTTCCCCACAATGTTTATAGCTCCCCCTGATTGAGCACTGACTTATTTTTAGTTACCGAAGATGGAAACAGTACTTCCCTTCGAAACGTGAGTGAATTTCTACCGGACTCCATAGCGCCACATCCCATGAAGTTATCTATCTATCTACCTACCTACCTACCTACCTACCTACCTACCTANCGTCTATCTATCTATCTACCTGCCTACCTACCCACCTACCTACCTGCCTGCCTATCTACCTACCTACCGTGAAAATCTTCGTTTCACTTCAGTTTCTTAACCTAAGACAGTTGGTAGGACTCCTTGGACGGGGGATCAGCCTGACGCAACGCCGCCACCTACACACAGGACAACACAAACACAGAATAAACACACATAGACACCCATGCTTTGAGTTGGATTCTAAGCCACGATCCCAGCGTTCGAGCGGGGGAAGAGAGTTCCTGCCTGAGACCGCGCGGCGGGCCACTCTGTGTTACTGTCGCTATATTTCCGAGCTGTACCTCATCTTCAGGCGGTTTATCTGTTGCCCTCGCATTGCATCCTTGTTGCTAATTTCGTTGAGCGGTCAAAACAATTTCCCTAATGCAAACAGAATTGTAATTAGTAAAAAGTAATTTTACCATTAAATGACTGGTTGTCCGACTTGTCACTTTTTTCTCATTTCATTCGAGTTTCGTGGAATTAATCGCAATTAAACAATCCGTATTATTTGTTTGTCTGTCTCCTGTCCTGACAGTGATCTAACTAGGAAACCAAAAACATAAACCGGTGCAAATACATCGCGTATTCTTTCCGGGATGAGTGTCAGTAAGAGTGAACTCAACTGTGAACCACGGCCGTGTGTGGGCCATCTTAAAAGCCTACAAGAGTTCAGTTCAATTGAACCACTGACGGAATTTGAAGCAGAACAGTTCAGTCCAGTTGATGTATGGAAGAACATTAACTGGAAATAATCTTCAGGCTAATGGCGAAGGGCTGTAAGCAGCGCGACATTCTGCTGTAATCTTATTCAGAGGAGGAGAACTTTTGGTGGAGCCGGTGGATGGAATGAAGCGCGCCCCTTTCTGCGGGAGCTCGGGCGGTTAGTCGCTGGCTTCCCGACGCGGAGACCCGTGTTCCAGCCCAGGTCTGGTCAAGAGGAATTTGTGGTGGACAAAGTGGCGCTGGGGCAGATTTTCTCCGAGTACTTCGGTTTCTCCTGCCAGTCTTAATTCCACCAAATTCTCCATCAACATAATCGCCCGGGGCAGGCCAATCAGTGGCCGCCGTGCCGAGTGGACCCAGCTGGACTCCCCCCCCCGCACTATGCCAATAGGATAAACATGGTCAACCCACTCTCTGATACAGCACGTGACTACACTTTACATTTCACTATTACACATACACTAGTGTCCATAGAAACGTCTTCACTGCCGTTGATTGGTATCGGTTTCCAACGGCGGACGTTCCCCTTCCTTTGGGTTGCCGAAATCTCCTCGCTCTCAGTCAGAGTCAGAGCTACTTTACGATTGGCGGTTTCACGCCAATCAGTTCGACTTAGCAACACTCAGCACTTGTGGTTATAGACCTTCCGTAACATCTTCTCTGAGGAGAGGACGGGTCTGTCGTTTACAATTGCTACTGGTCCTTGCCAGCGCAGTCATTCTCCTGTCTGAAGCCCATGGGACTCATGACCACATTTTACTGTCACAGATCCCAGACTCCCTCAACCTGGAGGACCAGGTCCCCGTATTTATATCCCCCAGGAACAGGGTGGCCCAGTTACACCCCCAGGTATTGGGTTCCCTTTTCGCCGCCTTTTACTACTCGCAAGGACCGCACAGAAAGCACCGCTCCTCTGCTGGTTTTTAAGAGCCGTTGCCTAGCAACGGTTCTACATCAATATAAAATGAAAGTTATGCAAGTGCGAAGAAGGGGGATTCGGTTGCTTCTGTGTCAAGAGATTAAGACAAATATAGGACAATGTTTACATGACGTATTAATTGCCTCATAAACATAATAAAACCAATTTTTGGGTTTGTCTTCTTTGTTTTACTTACGTAAAATGTTTTCATGAATTTCCTGATTTCGAGCACAGCCAAAAAGTGTCGGGGGGGCCTCTGCTCTGGAGTCTTGATGCGCGTGAAATTCTGTCTCTCACCCTGATGGGGGGGGGGAACACAGACTAAAGTGGTTCAAAACGGGGCGATGAGAATATTTCGAAATGAGGGAAACGAATTGTTCAACTGTTCACCGCCAAACCTTATCGTTTATACCCCTAACCACCAGAGGCGATCAGGCCAAGGAGAATGACAAGTGGGAATGTAGCACGCATGTAGGGCCGCGCCATAGCTCAAGCGGTTAGTCGCTGGCTTCCCACCGCGGCGGCCCGGGTTCGATCCCGGGTCTGGTCAAGTGGGATTTGTGGTAGATAGGTTTCCTCCGAGTACTTCGGTTCCCCTGCCAATATTCATTCCACCAACTGCTCCATAATCACCCTCACCTATCATCTGCGGCTGGTACAATAGGCCAGAAGTAGCCGCAGTACAAGGGACTTAGTCCCACCCCACTAGCAATAAAAAACAGGACGCATGTAGGGAAGGGAAATACAAAAACAAAAATTGGTACTAAATTTTGATACTGAATGTGTTACGGTGGACATCATGATCGGCTACCTTCATACTTTAATATAATATTTTTTTATTAAATGTAACTTACCTATCTTGTAGATATCCAAAAATGTAGTTGCCTATGAGACCACCAATGCCAAGGAGAACTAGCGCTAGTGTTGTGTAGAAATCCCTGTCGCACACGAGTTCCCACTGAAATATAAATATATATACGTATATATATCAAATTGCAGGATTTGAGGTTCTCACAGCAGTGGCCTACGATATAACGCCGTGTAGTCCGTTGAAAGCCAACCGATGTTTCGGAGTAACATATTACCTCCATCTTCAGGGTCGAACAATAAGTCAAGAAAGAATCTAGCCCGTCCTCATTGAAAGACTGTGCTCCATGGAGCATAAAGTTTGGCTTCCACCTGCCACCTGCTTTCACGCTGGTTTCTTGCTCGGCTTATTTGACCATGAAGATGGAGGTTATCTGTTCCTCCGAAACGCCGGTTGACTTTCAACGCACTGCACGGTGTGATATCCCCGAAGACAGTACTCTTCATATATCAAATTATTTATTTGTGTTTCATTACATTTGTACAGTACGAACAGCCCACTTTACGTGTATTAAATTTCACAGATTGTAAGAAGGAAGATATTTCACAACGGAGACAGAGGTTATAAAAATTGGGTTTGAGGTTCTCACAGCGGTCATTATGGAGAGAACTATGTTCTGGGATATAACGCTATGTAGCCGGGTAGAAGTTCACCACGCCATGTAGACGTGCAGGGGAGTGGAGGTATTTATTATTATTATTATTAGACGGGGTGGGTTTCCCCATGCACTTAGACCAGTTATTGGTCCATTGGGCGTCCCCCTTTAATTTCTACTGTCGCCATATCCTACCGGTACTGGTGCGTGCTATCAGCCCCGTTCAGCCAACGAGGTCGGCCCTCGGTACCTGATATTTCCCCCCTCTACCAGAGGCATTGGAAACTACTTGTGCGGGAAACTTGTTGCCTAATTTTGCTCGGGGGTCTCCTAGAGACACGAGGATCTTTTATGTGCCGTAAATCTACGACACGGCACCCACGGCTTAAAGTCCCTCCCGGAGGACTTGTTCCCTGAATTTTTCCGCCCTTAAAAATTCCACGATGGAGGTGAGTTGTCAGCCTCAGGTTCGCTGTTTTAATCCTGGACGAAATTTCTCGGTATCTATTTGATAAGAGGCTGGGTGGACCTAAACGGCATTAACCGGTTGGGCTTTGTAGCGGTGACGTAATGTGTTTCCTGTGAGTTACGGACTGAATTGCTATATATTCTGCCCACACAGCGTTTCTGTGTGTTCCGTATGGTTCTCACAATAAACAGCGACTGTTTCCCTAAACAGCATTAACCGGTTGGGCTTTGTAGCGGAGACGTAACATGTTTTCTGTGAGGTATGGACTGAATATTTGTGTTCTATTTGGAAGAAATTCGGTCTATAAAGGGTTAAGCACAGACATATCTTCAGTCTCGCGACGCTCCCTGCAATACTACTGTAACTGAAACTGACTGTCCACAGAGTTCTGAAAGCATCCCAGTGGGACCAAAGTTGTCAAAGCCGGAAGAAAAAACTATAAGAATTTTTTAAACGCGAATCCAAAAAAAATGTGAGCAGACTGACATCAATTTCCAATTGTCTTCATCGCCATCACAAATCAACAAGTTCAGACTCTCGGTGTAGTTGGGACGTTCTGTGATTGGCTTATTTGAATATCAAAGGCCGTGGTTTCCTCGCCACAGCCCGCTTGTGTCCCCTGTAACATGGCATGTCGGCAAAAGCGACACAAGAAACAAATGGGACTCAAATTAGCTTCGGACACTTCAAAGTCTTTCACCTTTGTGTGCATATAGGCCCCCCCCGCACGGACCTGTGAGCACAAACAATTGTTGTTGATATTCCTGTTGTAGCTGCTGCTATACTTGCTTTTTGTCATTCTTACTGTACAATTAGTCAAAGTGAAACAGTGTTTGTTTAATGTTTGTTAGTATCCCATTTCCATGGATATCCGTGCAATGGGCCGAGGAGGCCCATAGGGTTGTGAGAAGTCGAGACTCCCACATTTTCTGGACCATCGGCTCACAGAGTAAACACAGATAAAACCATAGAGTGCAGGAGAATACTGTGACACAAACATATTATGGCATGTAGAGCCGTTGCTAGGTAACGACCGCGAAATAAGTAACTACAGCATTAGTTGCTAAGTAACGGCTCCGCTAACAAGCACGTTTCTACGGTAAAAATTTTTCTGCTACAAAGGAAATGTGTTTTCTGTGCTGTCTGTTCCGAAATATAAGCAAGGCCATTCTCTGGTCGTGAACCTCGAGGGGACAGAGAGTGTTCTCAAGGCCCCCAGAACCGCCAGACAATAAAATATGGTCGTGAGTCCCGTGGGACTCGGAACCAAGAATCATTGTGCTGGCGATGGCCAGGAGGATTTTAGCGATCAGTCGTTAGCCTCAAAGGGTGTGTCGCCAAGACGAACTGATTGGCGGTAAACCTCGAGCCTTGACTCTGAGTGAGTTAGAGAACAGCTGCGGGTTCAGCTGGTAGCTGAGACACGGGGACAGTTCCGGGTGTTTTAGACAGTAGCCCTCAAGCATCTTATCGCGGGTGGTTCTGTTAGTGTTCCAGAGCTGGCTAGGGCTCGCAGGCCACCTTTTTCCAACTCCTGCGTCTGCGCAAATGAAACAGACAAACTCGACAGGTCAGTGGTGCTGTGATAATTATGTCTGGTTTCAGAAAATGTAACCACAAAATTATTGTTGCCCAAGCAATGGCGTTGGAATCATTTCACCTTGGCTGCATGAAATACCACTACATAATTTCTGCTGACCGGATCACGGTGGTATGACCATTGAATCTGGTTTGCGTGGAAATAACTCAATCACAATTCTGTTCGAGCCTAACACGTGGAGGGCATGGAATATCGGTAATTACATCAACCCTTTGAATACTGACAGCGATATAGACAGGGAAGCAATTGTCTGCAGATTAGCTGCAGTTGGCACTACTGGGGCCAACGTGACTAACTTTTCCTGATATTTTGGCCTATCAGAAGAAGCGAACGATGTTATATGGTTATATTAATGTTATCTTTCTCATTACATCACATATGCTAATACGCCTACATGTAAACATTCTGTAGTCTTTACTTACTTACTCATGGAGCTGAGTCCTTCCTGAGAAGCCGCCAGTTGTGCAGCTACTCAAGAATTTCTCAGCATTTTATGGAACCCGAAAGTTCATTACCGTGTTCACAAGAGCCCTATACTGAGCCACAACAATCCAATCAATACCATCCCATCCTAGCCCTCTAAGATCCATTTTAATATTGTCCACCCACCTACGCCTTGGTCTTCCCAGTGGTCTCTTTCCTTCTGGCTTTCCCACCAATATCCTATACGCATTTCTATTCTCCCCTTTCGTGCTACATGCCCTGCCCACCTCACCCTCCTTTACTTGATCATTCTAATTACACTTGGAGAAGAGTACAAGTTATGAAGCTGTTTCTCCCTTCTCTCTTTTCCTCATATTAATTTTTATTCTCTTAAGGTCGCGTGTTCAAATCCAGATGAGGTCATTGGATTTATTTCAATTGACCTCATCCTTCCGGCCTCACTATGGTCCTGGTGTTCACTCAGCCTCTAACAGAAATGAGTACCAGGAATCTTCCCCTGGTGAGTAAAAGGCGGCCGGCGCGTGAGACTGACAAACTTACCGCCATCTGTGAGCCGATTGTCTAGATAATGTGGGAGCCTCGACGTCTCACAACCCTATGGGCCTCCATAGCTTTACTTTTTACTTTACTCTTGAGCCCTCTCTGTCGTTATCGCCTCATTCCGTTCTTAAATACTTCCCGTGATTCTGTGCTTATTTAAGCACCATGCCATGTGGGCGTGTGGAGGGTTGGACGCATTTCTAACTTGGACAGTAGATCAGGTTGGGCGGTCAGCTTCAGTCCCTCGAGAAATCTCCCCACACGCAGGGGGCTGGGTAGGCCACACGGCCAGCAGGGACGCTGTGGAGAAGAGAAAAATCCCTCGCTTTGTAACTAATCGACCTCTGTTCCTCGTTCGTCCAGCCCGTAGCCCAATAACCTGGCCGACGCACAAAGTTGTGGTGACGTCTGGTGGCATGACATTCATCCCGAGTTTCACTGTAACGAGCGCTGTGCGGTTAGCGCGTGATTCTCGATTTCCAGAAACGTCGGAATGAGGCTATGTCTGAAGCGAGAGAGTTTCTGCTGCGCATGCCCGAGGGATAGAACTTGGTTCTGCGTGTTGGGAGCCTCGGTTCGTGCACCTTGCACATTGCTTCGCTACGGACCACAGCCCGCGTGTGTTCCCAGCTGCAATGGCAACCCATCCGCAAGATAAATGTGATTGCACAACTAACCAGGATTGCCGGGAGGGGGGCAACAAGCCAGGGATCTGCCTCCCCCCCACATAGCTTTTTGGATATTAAAAAATTAAATACTAAACGTCAACACCCAAAAATGGGTTGATCCTCTAAAGTTCTGTGACGGTTGTCTCTTTTCAGTTATACAATTGTATTAGACGGTGCCCATTGTACTGTTATCCAAGTATAATTAGAATGATCATGTCAAGGAGGATGAGGTGTGCAGGGAATGTAGCACGAAAGGGGAGATGAGGAATGTATATAGGATATTGGTGGGAAAGCCAGAAGGAATGAGACCACTGGGAAGACCAAAGCGTAGGTGGATGGACAATATTAAAATGGCTCTTAGAGATATAGGATGGGATGGTATGGATTGGATTGATCTCGCTGAGGATAGGGACCAATGGAGGGCTCTTGTGAACTCGGTAATGAACCTTCGGGTTCCATAAAATGCTGGGAAGTTCTTGAGCAGCTGCAGAATTGGCGGCTCCTCCAGAAGGGCTCACCTCCATGAGTAAGTAAGTAAGTGCCAATTGTCTTGTTTCAAATTTAAAATTATACAGCATTTCTGAATCTGCTTCTGTCACCGAAGATCAGGACAGACGCTGCCTGAGGGACACCGCTGAATGAGGCCCTTCCAATTTATTTTTACCTGATGACTGAAGCAGATCCATATTCCCAGACATCGTATACTTTTTATGAAACTAAAATAATTGACAATGCCCAACGTAATTTTAAATTATCAAAAGTTGAAGAGTTCTT